CCCGCGCTCAGGCTGCTGAAGAGCCTGGGACCTCCAAAAATACAAGGCACCATCTGGAAAATCCTTTAAAAGGGCATTGCCGCATGGGAGCGGTTCTGGGTTTCTGCCCCTTTTTTTCACCCCCCAGCTGCGTTCAGATTTCGGCCCTGGAAACATTTAGCTGATGGAGATGCAAAAAGCAGAGGAACGGTTGAATGGTTAAAGGGTTAAAATTTAAATCAATAGGCCAGACTCGGATTTTGTACACAGAGCAGCAGCCTCATCAGTTATACCTTATTTAAAAAGTGCATGTGCACATATATATCTGTGTGTGTGTGTGTGTATGCACACACATACACACACACACACACACATCTCATGAAGGCTTTCTTTTTAAACCAGTATGCAATGTCAAAATGACAAGCCTGACAAGGACACAACATCACGAGGGTGCAAATGCTTGTACCAGTCGAAAGAAATCTATTTTTAAAAAGCCACTGCCTAAGGTCAAAAGAAAATAAGCCTTTAGTATATAGGAGCTGTTTAAAATAGTCACCCCGAAGTAGGTTGACCCCAATCTCCCTCTAAAATGTTTTTAAAGGCCTGGTAAGACAGCTACAGTACAGTCAAGGCAGTGAGTGGGTTTTAGTGATTTTTTGAGTTAATAGCACTTCTTTTATTCAAGTACTTAAATGGAAGAAACGCACTTCCACTGCCGTTGCATCAGAAGCCGTACTGCCTGGGACTATTGTCTCCAAGGAGGAGCATGAGTCACAGCAATTTTAACGCAGCTGCTCCCGAGTACAGTTTTCTCACATCTGAGATGCTCTCACTTGTCATATTTGAAATGAACATGCCTATGAAAATAGATCATTTTAGTATGGGCATAAAAGACCCGATTTGCAGTGCCTCTCCATAGTGCCAAACGGCTAACGCTCAGAACTGCTAAAATGACAAAAGCAGACAGAACAGTTTAATAAGAGTCAACCATCAGTTCAGGCAGTTCAATTCAACCTTAAGCTACATCTAAAAATATTCTTTTATTACCATCTTTTTGCAACTGCATTCATTATTCAATTAAAAATTCCTATTAAAGTTTTTGAAATAATATGAGGATAGCAACGTCCTTTATAGACGCAGAAGGATACTATGCTTATGTTACTTATAAAAATATATACTTAAGTTCCCCCCCAAAATGTAAAAAGTCCCACATAACCGTAAGCCAGAAAGAAGAAAGCTATTGTGTCTCGTGTATCATCAAATCACGTTCCTTGTGTTTCGGAACAGGCCGACAACTGTTTATAACAGACAGCACCAATTACTATCTTGGTTAAGTAAGTCTCCAACAAAATTGTAGATATGCAAAATATAATTAAGACGTCTCAGCTCAGTATAAAAAAAGCTGCAAAAACGTTAACGCAAGTTGTACTACTGAAACATTACCTGGTAAAAGAAAATAACGGGAGGAGGCTTCCAGTATCTTAGCACAATCAGCAATAACGCTCGTCTAATGAATTCCAGAGTCAGTTTACAAAACTGATATAGTATTATGAATTAAATTTATTTACCAGACAATTTTAAATTTGAGCAACTTCCTATGGTATAAGGTTTTAAAGGCCTGAATTCTTAAGTCCAAATGTCAGAACCTTTTCTCAGAGACCCCAAGGTCTATATAAAAAGTGAAAACAGATTCTCATATCACCCACAATTTCTACAGCTTCAAATTGTAAAGTCTCTAGTACCAACAAAAATGATCTGTTAAAAAAACCAAAAACAAAACAGCACAGATAATTCTAATTTGCAAGAGTGTTTAAAAACAACAACAACAAAAAAAAGGCATTGACTTCTAGAACTTGGAAGTAAATTTTCACATATCGGAGGCCATCAAGACAGTACAAGAGCAGTACATCCATGAATTAAACACAAATCTCCCTCCACCGTGTTCCCCCTCCTATTTATCTTCTGCATTCACTAGGGAGCCACAGATTTTCTTGACTTCGTCTTTAATAGCTACAGAAAGACAAACTGCATCAGCTTCACTTTAAAAAAATCCAACTTAATATTAATTTAAACATATTTCTAGAATGAACTATTCTCAGAATAATTCACCATTAGTACAAAAGTATTACAGTATTTGATACATAAAAATGCCATAACATTGATAAGGAAAAAATCCATTTACATAAGAAAGCCCTTAAAAAATAAAACTATTATGTACTTCATCTTAGGCAACCCAAGGGTACAATTTCCCCCTCAAACAACGGCAGAACATCAGCAACGTATAAAATGACAGAACGAATGCAGTTTCCCCACTGTTTCTTTTAAATTTAATAAAATGGATTATAAGCTTCCTTCCATGTGATGGATAACGAACACAGAATTTCTGTAACTTCAGGTTATATTTGCAAAGCTTTTCAAAACAATGAGTCTAGCTCTCTTAATTTAAATATACTGTCTCTTGGAGCAAAGTTACATTCAATAGAGGTGAAAGTCAACACTGCCAGGCCAAACAGCTTAAAGATGTTGCAACATATACTTCCGCGCAGTATGCCAACATAATTAAAACTGAGTTATAAAAACTAGACATATTAGATACAAAAATAAAGTTTTACCAGTAAGTTTCTGAGACTGACTACTATGTTAAGATTTCATAAGGCCTTGAGGTATTTCCACTTCCATAAACTGAAGAGCACTGAGCAAAATTTCAATCCAAGAGAGTCTTTAAACTCTGAGGCCCAGAGATGGCAATCATAATACTCTATTTAAAGTATCTTCTGCACGTTTAAATGTATGAAGGAAAAAAAACTTTTGTTTTCCATAATCTACTGTACAAAATCCAAAGCAAAGGATACCCTCCACTTATTTTCAACAAATTAAAGAGTTACTGATGTTCTGCCCAACATTAAAACTTGATGAAATAAACATTGATTGAATATACTCTCACCTTCCCTCTAAATACACATAATTTTATTTTGCCCCTACACGTAAACAGGAAGCCAGGTCTGAAAGTGCTGACATCCAGGGAGGAAGAAAGATGAACTGATTTACGACCGCCAAAAGGAAGGATGCAGAGAGCCCTTTGGTAACGGAATTTCCTTCTGCTGTAGACATTTCTGGCGAAGACAAGGAGAGAAAAAACGGAAAAGAAAAATGCATCTTAGAACTAGCATTAGCAATTTCAAACAACGTGAAGAAATTATCCTAGGAATCTCTGTACCCACCAAGGTGGGAACAGTGAAATGCAAGCATACAGGAACTGTTTCGTTCTTAAGCACTTTTCAGGGGAAGAGCAAAAACGCAAGGTATTAATCAGATCTGTCTGTCTTGAAATTTATCATTGACTGAAAGAATTTGAACAAGGAGTTAGATCAATGTTTTATCAAACAATTAAAAAGGGCATTTTAAACAGAACCATGGAACTTTTGAGATGAAAAGGGGACATACATAAAAAAAATAACCTGAATTCTAACTGTTTTATAGTTTGCCATCAGGAGTTTTGACAGCTCTTCTGCAAACATTCCAAGTGTTGCTAGTAAAACATATTAAAACTAATTTTAAAATGAAAGTACAAACTCTGATGCTATCATGTATCACAATTTCAGTCAACACTCACAAAACAATTTAAATAATTGAAGTATTTTATGGCTCTGTAAGCTTTCTTTAAAAAGACACCTGTGCAGAATTTTGCAGAGAGTAGTTTAAAACGCCTGCTTCCTCGTATGCCTAACCAGAACAACAGAGAGCACAAAAACAAGCACCGTTTTCTGACGAAAATGAGCTGTTACAGAAATGACTCAGCAGAATCCTTCTCAACCTTTACGTCTCCTCCCACTGCAACCAGTTTTCACCGAGAAAATTACACGTGAGGTTAGGAAAGAAAGGAGATGTTGGCTATCATAACTACCATGGAGATTAAGTGAACTCGATAACCAAAAAGTTATAAAAACCAGGTTACATCACAGTCACAGGTCTGGACTATCAAGTATGCTGCAAGCAGCACCGGCCTCATTATCAAAACGATGCACGTACCGAAAGGCGGGGTGGGGGGGAAGCTTGGAAGACTGAAGAAATTGCATTACCTCCAAGAATTGCTTGAAACGCATTAAAGAGCCCATCTGTCCAGAGCTAGTAATTGCTTCAATCCTGCAAAAAGATCAGCACGTTCCCAAATTTACTTAGAAACTCGGGTTCAATTTACAAAGGGGGGGGGAAATGGCAGCAGTGGGGGAAGGCAGAAGAGTCATTTAAGAGCAAACACTCACGATAAGAAAGAAAAATAAAGATTATTCACTTTCCTAGCAACAGGTATCGTACCTTGGGAAATAGTCTTCTCGGATAAGCAACATCATTTTCCAGAACTGGACCTGATACTGTTTCATGAGGGCATTGCCACACACCTATGGTACAGAAATCCACAAAGACCAGATTCCAGAACCGGGTCTCAGACTAGCACGACAACTTCAACAAACCTGTTCAATATCAGCCACTTCTGTTTGAAAATGTCTGGATAAAATATTAAAAAATACACCTATCCCTATCATAAAGCAAGCAAAGCCTGTTAGCTACACTACTGCTAACACAGTCACCTTGTCTTCTTATTGACCACGCGGAGGTCACTGTCACCAGTTTTACATTGTTCTTCCTCTCACTCCAGGCTCCCTTCAAAAATGACAGCCTTCCTTAATACCATTTGCTAGCACATACTGTGGTCATTTCCCCACCTCGATTACTGTAGTCTATGTTCATCAAGTTTCTCCATGCAGTCAATTTACAGGAAGGTTTACAGCTTCAGTTTAGACTACCTCAAACTTCACCCACTGCTTGCTGAATCCTTATGGTGTATTTCACTTTCTACTTTATTTTCTCATTTCTTCTTTTAAAATTCTTCAGAAGACATTTGATAAGCACAGAAGTTGCCTTACATAGCACCAAATATAACAACAGAAGTTGCATGTGCTCTGAGTAAGCTTCATTTTTTTAAAGCATTCAGCTCCAAAGCTGTAATTGGAAGAACCTGAAAATATTCATATTCTTTTTCCAAGAGATACGGACAAGTTAAGGAAACTACTGTTAAAAATTACAATGAACCTCACCTCAGTCAGCAGTCTCATCAGGCACCAAAACATCAGCAATTCTTCTCCTCCTCCTCCTCCTCCCCCCCTTAAGCTCGTTTGCTTACGTACACTTTTCAAAGTTCTGCTGCTGCTGCTGAGCAGGCTCATACTAGGACATCATTTACCTCCAGAAAATCAAAGAGAAGTGTAGCTGTCACATCTGCCAGAGGCTCCATATTCAACATCTGAGCAAGCCAGCGCCATCCATGGTTCAGCCCATGAGGATGGGCCTGTAAAGCAAAAAAACACCTATCTATCACTTGTTTTATAACTTGCAGAATGCAGTTATCGAAACAGAAATTTTCCAGTTTGCTTTCTCCTGTATAAAGTTATTTTCTAATAGCCTTATATAAAACTTGATTGTTATGACATTATAAAGGAAGTAGAGGTCTATATTACAATTTACTTTGATTTGCGTTGCTTTATTGATTATGATCACCTCCCTTCAAATACATTGAATCAGCTGGTTTAAGTTTACTACACTTCAACTGCAAATCATGTTTAATTCAATAGTAATAGTAATGAAGCCACACACACGCACATACCCCTTGTCTGTTTCCATAAGGCCATCGGAGCTGAATGATAGCAGCATAAAGACGAATCATTCCTGACATCCGTTTAAGGAAATTATCCTGCTGTTCTATCTTAGAATCCTTAACTTGATATCCAAGCATCCTAAGCATTAAAAAAATGTTCCAGCATTAGCTGAGCAAAACATATTCGCTCGTGTCCCCGCAGTTCTCAGCTTACATTAAGTCAACCACACTGAGAGCAAGAATTCTCCAGAACCATGCAAGAATTATTGCAAAGGCTGACAGTTACACTCTGGATCATATATTCCACTATTTAATCCACATCAGACTCTTCAGATCCTGTACCGGACACTTCAACTTGAATCAAGCTGTTTCTATGGGTATCAACTGTTCTTTCAGAAGGACAAGGAAGAAGAAACAAAAGAGTATCCATTACCCCTAAAAACACTTCCATAGCTGAAGGACACAGCATCCTCCAAGGGTGCAGGGTCAGGGAGCTGCACACTTGTGAGTGAATCTCCAGAGTCTATGCCAGCATGTCACTGTGCCTAAGTAATTAAAGACGGGGAAAAGTGGAGTTCACTCAGGGGAAGACAGTCTTTGCCCTTGCAGAGTTAATGCTGAAGGACTGACTCTGTTAAGAAAGTTACCTCTGATACTCTTCCAAAGAAGTCCCATCTTTGAACGCAGGGTAAAATGGAACAGAGTAGGGGCACTTTTTGTGGAGATGAGCTAAAATGAGGTCTCCAACTCGAGGGTGTATTTCCCAGATTCCTGAAGCCACCACAGCAATTGGGAAAGCTGCCTCATGGTGAGAAGCTACTTCTTCTTCTCCTTGATTCTGGGGAAAGGGACAGGGAAAAGTCAGTCCCCACCCCTTCAAGCCATTTTTCGACAACTTTTTTATTTTATTTGGTATTTAGCCTCTACTAAAGGCTCCATGACTATGTAGCCACCCACAGAAAGGGGGATACGGCCTACATCCTCAGCTTCCACAGAGAAAGATGCCAATAAACTTCTGCTCGGGACATAAAAAAAAAAAAAAAAAAAGGAGTTAGCAACTACAGGCACAATGCATGAGGCTGCACCAGTGTTTTCACTCCAAACAATCACTTTCAAATGTTTACAAATCGGTCCCATTTTTACTCCATGGGCCAATTTTTGCATATATTTTGTCAGTGCAGGAACAAAAGTAAGCCTCAAACAGTCCAAATTTGGCAAAAATAATAATAATAAAAAAAACCACTGCCAACTTCAAACAATGGCACTTTTTGGGGGAGATGCTAAGTATACAACATGGACCGAAGCTTGCCTTTTGGACCTTAGCAGTGGTTTTTTTCCCCCCAGTTCTGCCAATATGCAAGCTTTCTGAGCGCATGTATGATTTTGTGCTAAATCATAAACCAACTATCGGTCTGTTTTCTACTAACAAAGTACCTAACCAGTTAAGAATACGCAAACATACAACCCTGGAATTTAGAATAGTTCTGCCTCCTTGAAAAGACGAAACCACGCGGGAGATGGGAGTAGGGAAGGGAAATACCTCGTTTCTTTATCCAAAAAACATTTCCTCTCATCAATAGGAGCATTATAACACACGCAAGTTAAACTCCTAGTAATTTTGTCCTTAGGAGTAAGAGGCAGGATAGTACTTTTTTCTCTTGGATACTATCTACCTTCACCATCTCAATAAAGAGAACAATTCCTCACCACAAATTTCTCTGCAAGCTTGTAGTAAACAAAATCCAGACCCTGTGGATGCTGAGTCACTGATACAGTTCGCCCTCCACTCTGGACAGACTTTCCAGAGAGCAGGTTATTGATCTTGTCAAATATCTCTCTTAGCTGAGAACCTGTGAATACATCAAAAAATGCATAGAGACAGAAGATTAGGAAACAACTGACAAGCCTTAGGCAGACCACATCGGCTTCCCAAAGCCAGACCAACATCCTGAAGGGCAAGGCATCTCAGACAGCTTGTTTGCTACATTTGATTAAAGAAACTGAATCATGATGAAGCAAGATGCCTCTAAGGGAGGGAACAGACCTTCACAACATAAGCAAACGGCATGCTGCAAAGGCTTGAGCTGTAGGTATACTAGCTTTCTGGTGTAGGTGTAATACAGTAACATTGGCTACATTGGCTCCTACTAAAATCATTACAGGAAACTGCATCTCAGAGGGATTCCGCTCTTGGTGTTCTCCTGACCTGCTATACTAGAGATCTGGCTCACAGGGATTGTGGCTGCTTTCTGCAAGTCCATTTTAATCTTCTTCACCTGCAGAAGAACATAAAACACTGTTGAAAACTTTACAGACAAGAGACCTGATCAAGAGGCAGATTTTTTTTTGGCCTTGTGGACCAAATTCTGAAAGGAAGAATTCAGCCCTAAATCCTGCCTGATCTTTGGAGGAATTAAACCCACGCAGAATACTATGCAGTCTACTCCGCGTGGAACTGAGGTCAAGATGTTTGTCTCCAGAATAGCGAATGTTTAATTTAACATTTATTTATACCTTGAAGGCCCGCAACATAATGAGTACAAAACCCTCATGGAGACAAGAAGATGCCAGGTTCTTGCGCACACAATTTTTAACAGCTAAAGAAGCCTCCAGAAGAACAAAAGGAGGCAGGTAGTCTAGTCTTGCCTCAAGGAAGAACTACTGGTTTTTCAGACACATGTGATGTACTGGGAGGGCAAGATTGAATGCACAGTATCTAACAGGTTTTGTTTCATTTGCATTCTGAATAGATGTTCAAGCCTTCAATGAATACTGATTATTCTGCTGTGGAATGTACAATAAATGAGTGTGGCTAAGAAATATTAGGAAACAATAAGTTACAGTGAATGTTCAGAACCCACTGTTCAACATCTTTCTGTCTCGAGGTTTTAGTAATATTAAGACACAAAGGACTCAGTAAACCAGCTTAACAAAAAAATTCCCACAAAGAATGAATTATAAATGGAAATGAGAAACAGAAGAGTTCTGAAAAGTATTCCACTACAGGTAGCATACATCGTTGTTTTTTTACGATTACTAACCAGATTACTTGTCTTTTTACAGTTTCCAGCTGTACAACCGCCAAAATCGGCTAGACTTCTGCTCAATAGCACCTTTCGGAAAGTCTGCTCACCTACTTGAACAAACTGATTTTTTCAGCAGACGATTAAAACATTTCTTCCTGATTATTACCCTGACAGTTTGGATGAGGAGATGATTAATAGGGGCTGCTAAGTCAGAATTTTTGTCTTTCCGTTTTTAATGAAAGCTGTCCTACTTCCACTAGAGATGAATGTAACCACTCTTCAACAGCATTATCATTTGTTCATACCTCATTGTTGTCTTTGCAGTTGCTGATAGCACTGAAGGAAGCAATGCACTGGTCAGCAGCATCTTGAAGCTGCTGGTACCACTGCATGGTACTTTCTTCTGCTTTAACTTGAAGTCCTAGTATTAAAATAGAAATGGCAGAAGACTAAGAAAGCCCCAGAACACTAGAAAACCTAAGAGAAAACCTAGAAAAGTTGGAAAGAATCAACAGCTACAAGCATTTTTTTTTCCACCCAGAATTCAGTTTAGAAAGCTATGGTTATAAATTAATTACAACTTCACAAACCATATAGGAGCCCCTGTTTTTCAGCCTAATAGCTTATACATGTAGACTTTCTGGACTTAAATTTATGACCAAAAAGGAAGCTCTTTCAGTGGTCTGTCCCTGGATGTTTCTAGTACCATGCAGGATCCATCTACACTTTTAATTCTCTAGTATTCTATTATACCGCATACTGTGTGGGAAGAGCAGTTTTTGCTCCAGGTAATACAGTTCATGCTGCATTGGTTTCCTCGACAAAGTTTGCTGCGAGCAGTCACATTTTGCTAGCTGCGCTAAAAAAAAGTGAAGGCTACCAGAAGGTATGTCATCACAACAAAAAGATTATGAAGTAGTAGGTAGCCTAACAGCAAAACAGTATGCAATAAGGAGGGAACGGAAACGAAACAAAAAAGAAAAAAAAAAGGAAGCCTTTACCAACCTTCCCTCTGCTGTTTCCCCCCCGAATGCTGTGCAGGGACAGCAGTCTGAGCCGTCATCTGCTCTTTTTTCAGTAACTCTTTCTGCTTCTCTTTCTCCTCCTCTTCATCTTTCCTCCTTTTCTCTTCCACAGCAGCAGCAATTTCTTGCTGCATGCTGGATATCAACCCTCGCATTTCCTGCAGTGCTCTTTCAGTATTGGCCACATCTCCTTGAGTAGGGAAGCCTCTCTGTCAAGAAACAGAAAAGGCAACATAACATCAATCTTGAGCCTTGCTACATGTAGGCCAAGAGTAAGAGCAAGGAGCCTGTAAAGCATTAGCCTTTAGGTAGTTCAGGAGCCAACCATACATTTTCTCCTCTTTGGTGAAAGACCTTTTTCTCATTTAGCTGCATACAAGGATGATCATAATAGGGTTTTAGTCCACAGCTAGTCCTCACAGAATTTAGGACAACAAAAATGAGTAGCACTCTTTCACGTGTATAATGGGACCCCAATACAAAGTCCAGACTGCTTCCTCTGCAGGAAGACAGCTGTGACACACTGGAACAAAGACTAGCCTTGTTATAGTTTTTAATTTTTAAGTTCTGTGTTCCACTTTTACATAGAGAAAAATTGTCAAGGAAACCTAGTTACTGGAAAAAGCTTGCAAGTATAGGAGCGTCATAGCACATTCAGTACTCCGCTTGAACAAATTACGAACCACCCCAATTCCATGGCTGTCTCGAAACAGAACTCTACAGCATCAATAGTTTACAGTATTTTAATGTTCAGTCTTTCTCCTGCAGAAATCCTCATGTATTTTTATAAGCTGTTTTCAAGGGAACAGCTAGAGCGCAACAGAAAAGAAACCTCCTTTGAAATTAGCTGCTTTATAGGAAGGACATCTAAAAACTCTTCTGTGACAACTTCTTATTTAATGGCCTCATAACAAGATCCCTTTGAAGGCAACTCCAAGAAGCTTTAGAAAGGAACGACAACTAACGTAAAAATCAGCCCCCACCTCACTAGTGGTGCGGATGAGTCCTGACACCAGCCCACAGATCTGGTTGCCACGATTACTGTACACAGAAAGATCGATTCTTGGCAGGTCCTTGTGTCTATAATTGGGATCAATCTGCTGGTTAAGCTGTAGCACCTCCTCCTGGATAGAATAAAGGCGCCGCAGTCTCTCCTGGCCCTCTTCCTTACGCAAACGCTCCAGCTCCTCCTGACGCTGCCTCTGCTGCTCTGCCTCGCGTAGTTTTAGGTTTAATACCTGGTGAGAGAAAGACACAAGAGAAACAAAGTACTTCAATAACTCCAGATTTACAGATCTTTCTGGCTTCCATGAAGAGAAGCTGCATATAGGAAAAGAAAAACAGTAAACTTTTCACCAGTCCTGGTCTGAATTCCCAACACAGAAGTACCAGCGAGCCTGTAATAGCACGACCGACAAACTCTGCTGCCTATAGGATCCACAGAGCAGGAGAAAAACAGGTTCAGAGGAAATCTTAGACCGTTTGACATCCACGAAGCCAGCATAACACAAAACACAAAAGTATTTTCAAGTTCTCTCAAAGAAAGCAGCAAACTAAGCTGTAAGGATACGTGAAAGAACATCAGAATACTCTATTTATATAAGAGAGAAAAGAGTCTGTTTCTACAGAAGTAGTAAAGGTAAACTAACCTCTAAAGAATAAAGCCTTATCCATTAAAGACAACGTCTCGACTGGTCATATATTGAGATCAAAGCCCTAGTTCAAGTGCGAACATCAGCAAACTTTGAACGGAACTGTTAGTCCACAGATAAAAGCTCCACTGTTCTGCTCCTACAATGCACGTGCCTTTACTTTATTTCCACAATGACGCAGCAGGTGTCTAGGACAGCACCAGAAAATACATTCTCATTTCAGGGATGTCAGATATGTGGAAGTATAAATCAATTAGTCTTTCCAGTTCCCACTGAGCAGTCACTCTCTCCTATGAAAGAAAACTCCTACAAGTCTCAGACCTTTGCTCTGTGTCGATGTTCTTCTTTCAGCTTCTCTTGCTGCCCCTGGGCTTCTCTGGAGCTAAAATAACACACAAAATCAGAACGTGATTATTATGTTCAAGATACAAAGAAGACAAAACACAAACTCATGCAAGTTACTTCTAAGCTAAGCTAAAGGAATGTTAACTGTCAGATAAATACAGTCTTCCTCTAACCATTGAAACCTCAGAAGTAGCCAGAGATCTACTCTGAAAGGCAAACAGTAACAGGATGGGTAACGTAAGAAAAGCAGCAGATGAGATTTTTGAGCATCAGCAACTAGGGTAGATTGTCAGGCCCAAGAATTAATTCTCGCTTTGACCAAACTTTGAAAACAAGAGAGTCAGCTATAACGTTTTAAGGATACTACGTAGTATAGCTAATCTCACCTCTTCTCCATTACTTCCTGCAGATCTTGGAATTCCTGATGCTGCTTTAGCTCCTTCAATTCATCAAAGCGCTTCAGTTTTTCCCTTGCCAGGTCGTACACTGCTCTCACCATCTGCTCTTGCTGCTCCTGACGTTGCCTTAGCTCCTCCTGTAGGTTACAAAGATATCAGAAACCACAGTGATCACTGGAATTGACACAGAAGGAAAGACAAATGAAATAGCCCAAAGCGGGCCACCATAGCCCACTTGTGGTTATCCTAAACCACAGAGAGAAAACAACTGTCCCACTACTTCTACGAGAGCATTGTTACATTTTGTTATATAGCTCCTCTATGATTCGCATACTCCCTCACCCATTCTTTTTACCTTTCCTTTCAACCTGTGCATCTCTTCATATATCCGAATATAGCCTTCGACTTCTGTAACTTTAGATGGCAGAATGGTTGGAAAGACTTCTTGATCCATTTCCAGCAGACCGAGATCTTCGTTTCCCTGCACAGTCAGTGTATGTGCAAAAATCAGTGACTGATTATAATATCAGAAACTTATGAAGGAAACCAGGTAAATCAAGTGTCTGAAACTGCACGTTATTTGTAGAGGAACATACAAAGGAGTCAACCACCATGCAGCTCTTTAGAGTAGTTATATACCCCATTAGTGTAGTCTCCAGATTTTGAGCATCCTCTAGCACCTGAGTTTGGGATAACTGCTCTTCCAAATCAGTAAGACTGGGAAAAGAGACACCAAGAGCCTATAGGGCATTTACAAAGGCAACTGTAACCTAGACAGGCTGGACTCCTCGGGTTCCCTCTAACGTCAATGAGGGTGTGATGCTGAAGGAAGCTCACTGAGGTTTCTGCTTTGAATTTACTGTTTACAAAGAGTCTTCAGCCTCTCCTTCATAACTTTTCTCATGTCTCGCTGCCTCATTAAGATGTTTTCCTCACAGGATATTTCACAAGACTAAATGGGACCAAAAGGATACAAAACCTTTGCTGTTTAACTCAATACTGCTCTTACGTAGTTAAATCATCTTTCAATATATAGCAAAATACGTTCGTTGCCTCTTCAGGTGCTTCACAGACCTCAATACAGTTACAATTGAGCTGCTCACTGTCCAGTTTCCTTCCACTTTGCCTTAGGAAAGAACGCTCTAACACATCTAGATCATTAAAAGCCTCCAGGAATAGGCAGAAGAGAACCCAAGGAGCACTCACCGACTTCCTCAACACTCTGATCCTACTTTGGGGCCTTATTCTTCCATACAGATGGAGCCCGCGCTAATAAGCCATGTAGCTATACTGTTCCAAGTTTTCCTTAGTTAACCGTGAAAGAGTTTGCTTTTAGCCTACTGTGAAACATCACTATATCAAGATCTTAATATTTCCAATTTTATCAGCTCCTGGTTAAACTAAAAAAAAAAGCTAAAGCCGAGCACGTTTTTCCCACAAGCAAATTAACAGACCACCACACAGTCTTTATCAGGCGCTTCGCAGCAACGAGCTGGCGTAATTTTTCCCACAGCGGCTCACATAGGGGCTAGTTAGACAGCTACCTTTATGGCACTTGGCACTGCAGAGGAAAGCGGTGAAAGGCCTTGCTGGCTGGCAGGAGAAAGGGCCTTCTCAAGAGAAGACCGGTCCGTACGGGGAGTGGATTCTTTGGGTGTTGAACTTCTGGAGGGAGCCGTTTCTTGGGCTGAGTGCCCAACCACTCTGTCCAGGACCCAGCCGGAGTAGGAGGACAGCATCAGGGGAGCCATGCATCCTTCCAAAACATCCTGCGGGAGACAACGTCCTCCGTGAACACGCCAAGCGCCAGGAAACGGCGGGTAAAGGGCTACAGCACATCTAGACCCTTACAAGACTCCGGAGCGCGGGCAGAAGAAAACCCTCTCTGCTCCTGCAACAGCCCGGCCAAACCCTGCGCTATTTCAGCGGTGCCGAAGAGCCGG